TCAGATTCACACAAGAATTTTTGCATAAAAGATGTTCATTTTAAAAATTTATTAATTTTTTTCATCTGTATTTGAAATGCAAAGAGACAGAAAGTGAGATATCTTCCATCTGCAGGTTCACTCCCCCAAATAGCCAGGACTAGGTCAGGTTGAAGCCAGGAGCCCAGAACTCAGTCCAAGTCTGCCATGGGATGGCAGGGCCTGGCTGGGGAGCCATCGTCGGCTACCTCCAGGGGCGCACGGCAACAGGAAGCCGAATCAGAAGGAGTGTAGCTGGACTCCAATATGGGATGTGTTTACTTCTACTGGAAACTTAACTGCTGGTACCAAACACGAACCCTGAATTTGAAAGCACATGGCTATGTCCTCAGTCAACAAACAGCACCTGCACTCTGGCTGGGCCAGGGATGTAATCTTGACCACTTGCTGTGCTCAGGGCATAACAGTGTACACATAGACAAAGACCCTCTTCTCATAGGGCTAACGAGCTGGCAAGGGGACAATTCAGAGTGTGAGTGTGTGTGTGTGCGTTCCAAAGAAACTTAAAACAGTGCCTTGGTTTGAATGGGTCTCCCCAAAGCATCAGGGGCTAATTTTCTCCTGCTTTTTTTGTCTGTTACATTTCCTAGATGTTAATGCATGTATTTTTACTCTATAAAGTCAATGTCAATCTTTAGTGCAAATGCAACATAGCTATACCTGAATGCCTGCATGAGTGTTTGTACCCCTCTTCTATAGCTATCAGTCTGTCTGTGTGGTCTGAAATGTGAAGGACACATGACTTGTTTGGGGCTACCACTTTGCTGGTAAACACGAGAACCTGTGTTAGCTCAAGACAACTAAGAAGGAAGTTCAGCATGGACACTGTATGTCCACTGGGAATACAAGGAAAAGCAGAATTCCAGTAGGAAATAGCAAAAGCACACAAATCCACCATTTACAATGTGATAATCCTAAAATAAATGTTATGACCAAACACTTTGTCTTCCTGTCTCACTCAGTGTTGATCCCTGAATAGACCGGACTGGAACCTCAAACTTTATTCTCACTCCATGGTTTCCACGAACAAGTTACACAATGCTGCGGGCTCACCCATGTTCTCTTACTATTACAAAGTCCATGAGGCAAGATGTGAGTCACTCATGTCACTCACTCACTCATTCTTTCTAAAGATTTTGTTTTTTATTTGAAAAAACAAAGTTACAGAAGAAAAGGAGACATAGAGAAAAAGAGAGAGATAAACAAAATAACACAAAATAACACCCCTTGTTTGCTGGTTCACTGCCAAAATGGCCACAGTGACCAGATGCAGGAGCCAGGAACTTCTTCCAAGTCTCCACATGTGTGCTGGGGCCCATGGACTTGAGCCATCCTCCACTGCTTTCCCAAGCTATTAGCCGGGACTTGAACCAGTGCCCATATAAGATGCCCGTTCCGTAGGCAGAGAAATTAGCCTGCCATATCACGGTATCAGCCCCCGAATCTGCTTTCTAACAAGATCCCAGAGGATTCAGGGGAGCAGTAGGACTTGAGAAACGCTGGTCTGGGAAGATGAGTGGGACCAAGTGGTTTCAGGCAGGCTGGGGGCAGCTCTGGGTGACAGAGGCCATGGGCTAGGACCAGTGTCAGGTGACAGCGGGGCATCAGCAGAGCCTGGATCAGCCTGGCCCTGCAGGTCCTCAGTCTGGGGCTAGCCTGTTGCTCAGGACCACCCCAGGCCTCATCGGATGAATCCAGCCATCCTCCCCATCCCCCAGGCCTGTCTCCTTGGGCTGTTGTGCAGTCCAGGTAGGTTTACAACTGCAAGGCCCCAGGCCTTCCTTGGACGAAGACAAGCTGTGATGAGCAGTGGCTGGCCACCCTTCACTGTATGTTGTGACTGTGAGCTGAGACAACTGTCACTCACAGTGCCCTTGCCAGCCCAGGTATTGGTGCAACCAGGTGGCTATGAGCTCCAGCTTTGCACTGACATTAGGGGAGGTGTGTGGGCTTTTAGGCAGCAGGTACTTTGTGGCGTTAGGGCCACTGCAGCCGGCTGGCCAGCACCTCCTCTCCCATCCTCACTTCCTGGCTGCAGCCCATTCTAATTTGCAGATTCTAGCAGCCCTCAAGATACCCACTGCATCCCCAGAGGCTCAGAGAGGGTGGCTGGCAAGGACAGCCTGGAAGGAAACCCCCTCCACACAAACTCTGTACTTGCAGGCCTACTGAGAAAGGAGAGGAACCGACAATATCAAGCCAAACAAAACCAGGGACGCACAGTCACAGGGGTACCCAGGCATCTCCCAGGAAGGCCCCTCGGGGCCCCTCTATTTACCCAGGATTAGCTGTGTTGATGGGCCTCCAGTGTCTGGTTTCCATCTCTCTTAACTTCATCCAGGCCCCCTCCTCCTCCTCCTCACACTTTTGTAATTCGACCCTGGGCTTGGAAGACAAACAGGTGACCCAGAGAGCTTTTTTGTTCCCTGCTGTCTGCACTGCAGGCCCTGGCCAGGAACCAGCTCCTCGGCTTGCCTTACCTCCCCACCCTGCCCCCACTTGGGGCCCCACACATGCAATCACTTTCACTGGTAAGTTTCCAATTGAAGGAGAGGTAAACCCAAACAGTTCAAGGGAGAGGCGGCAATGACAGGCATTGGTGTTGTCAGCAGCTGGGGGGATCTGCTTTCATCGGAAAATAAGTCACAGCTAAGTGCTAAGAAAGTACCAGAGCCCTGGTTCCCACCCCCGGGGTCAGACTGCCAGCATTGCAGCAGTGTCTCACAGCCCCCATCCGACAGCTCACACATGCAGTTGCTTCACTGAGAAAAGCATGATGTGAGGCTGGTGCTGTGGCATAGTAAGCTAAGCCTCTACCTTGGCACCAGAATCCCCTGGGGTCGCCGGCTTGAGTCCCAGCTGCTCCACTTCCCATCCAGCTCCCTGCTAATGGCCTGGGAAAGCAGCGGAGGATGGCCCAAGTCTTTTGGGGTCCTACACCCATGTGAGAAACCTACAACCAGTTCCTGGCTCCTGGCTTTGAGTTGGGTCGGCACTGGCAATTGAGGCCTTTTGGGGAGTGAACAACCAGATGGAAATTTTTCTCTGTGAGCCTACTTCTCTGTAACTCTTTCAAATAAAAATGAATAATTACAAACAATGGATTAAGGACATTACAAATACATACGAAACACATCTGGAACCTCTTGTCTTGGTCCCACTTACCGTCCCAGGGTACCTTTGAGGGGTTGGTAGCTGGCTTTCCCAGTTGGCTTCGTTTTTGAGAGGTAGAGAGAGACACGGAAGAGACAGAGCAGACCGAGCTCTTTGGTCTGCTCACTCATTCGCTGGGCTTGGCCAGGCTGAAGCCAGGAGCCAGGGAGAGGATACCAGGGTCGCTCCTGGGTGACAAGGGCCAGGGCACCTGCCCTGTGCCCACATCAACGGGAAGGAAGAGTTGGAACTGAGGCCAGGGCTGCGGGCATCCTAGGGCTTCTTAATGGGTGATGCATATACCCACACCCCCAGATTTCTAGTGTCTGACACACGCATTTCATGTGCTCCCAGGGCAGCCCCATCAGCCATTTCCACAGCCGAGATCCACCCCATCTCCCAGCAGCTTCCACCTGGCAGTGGAGTGTGCCCACACACCTGTGCATCCTGCACTCGTAGGAACTTTCCTTTCCTTCTTGCACACAGCAATGCAACAGACATCTGTGCCCATGCCTTCCGTGTGGATGCAGGAATCTCTCTAGGACTCCCACAAGAGGGAATTGCTTTAGCTTCAGCCTGCCTTCCCAGAAGCCTGTTGGCGTTGAATGAAGCAACAGCAGGTTGCAAAGGCTTGTGTCTCTACAGCTTTGCCAAAATCCTTGCTCTTGTCAAACTTTGGAGCAGCTACCTTCACAGGTCGACAACACGACTCCCAGGCCGCTGTCTGGGTACCCAGGTCAAACACCAGCTCCATTTCCCGCAGGACTTGGGTCCCTGTGTCCCACACCAAGGACCCCGTGTCTGGCTCCTGCCTGGCCCAGACACGGCTGCTGAGGGCATCTGGGGAATAAACCCATAGATGGAAAATCTCTGTCTGTCTTTCACTAAGTGCAATTATAGAACACACCTGTGTGGCAAGCATTTCGTCACCTCAGTGAACTAGAACATTGATACAATTAAAAACAAAGTTGATCCCAAAACTACTTGTGGAGCTGGGTTCATATACAATCCCCTCTTCCTTTTTTCATGGGTTAAAGGGAGATGGTTAGGATGAATGCAAGTCGGTTACTGTCCTACACAATACTTTTCACCTGTTAGGGTGATGTGGATCCCGGCCGCACTGACCCGGCTGCCACCAGCTTGTGCCACACTCGGCCTTCCTGCGGCCCTGCTGGGCGCTCTTCGCCGTCCAGTGCGAGGTGATGTCCGCAGGCCAGTTGATGCAATTCACCTCCCACGCAGCAGGCGGTCGCAGGACAGCGAGCTGTCCCAGCCGGGAACCAGCGAGCCCAAAGCGCAGCACTTAGGCTCACCCGAGGACACTCCCGCCACTTCCTCCCGCTTCTCCCCGCTGTCCCCGTGACAGGGGCGGGCCGGCTGGCTGCGCGGCTGCCCAGTGTCTGTGCTGGGAGCAGGACCGCCGGTCCCGCCGCGTCCCCGGCCTCGACCTGCGGGAGGGAGGCGCGGCCGGAATGCGCGGAGGCCGCGTGGAAGTGTGCTGTGCTCCAGTCCGTTAGCAGGAGCGCGGGGGTGCGGGGACCCCCGCGGGATCCCGGGCTGCAGCTCCCAGACGCCCGAGGTCCCGCGGCTGGAGAAACGGAAAAAGAAAAAAAAAAAAAAAGTCTTTCCTGGAGCGCCCCCGTGCGCAAGGCCCGCCCCGCGTCCCCGGCGCCGTGGGCCACCCCGGGCGGCGCGGAGGCGGAGGGGCGCCGGGGGTCCCCACGGCAGCGCGCCGGGCCTGGCCACCCCTCCTCCCCTCCCGGCGGCGGCGGGGAGGCGGACACGGCCCGGCCTCGACGTCTCCGCCCGCCCAGGGGAAGTGCCTTATAAAGCGGCCGCTCGGCCGGGCCGACGCTCCAGTCCCCGTGGCCGCCCTGGAGTTGGCGCAGCCAGGCAGGCAGGCAGGCCGGCCGGGGCGCACCCGGCTTCCCCCGCAGCACAGACCGCAGCCCGACCTGCGGGCGTCGGGGAGCACGGGGGCGGGCATGCGTGGCCCGCGGCATGGCGTCGGCCGTGTTTGAAGGCACGTCGCTGGTGAACATGTTCGTGCGTGGCTGCTGGGTGAACGGCATCCGCCGGCTCATCGTCAGCCGGCGCGGCGACGAGGAGGAGTTCTTCGAGATCCGCACCGAGTGGTCGGACCGCAGCGTGCTCTACCTGCACCGTAGCCTCGCCGACCTGGGCCGTCTGTGGCAGCGCCTCCGCGACGCCTTCCCGGAGGACCGGCCCGAGCTGGCGCGCGCGCCGCTGCGCCAAGGTGCGGGGGCATCCGTGGGCGGGCTGGCTCCGAGCGCGGAGAAGTGCGGCGGGGAGTGCGGTAACTCAGATGCCTGGCCGCGGCTCAGGGGGGACACTCGGGCGGCCTTGCGGTTGGGGGGGGGCGCTGCGAGCCGGGACGCGCGCGGAGCCCTGTCCCGAAAGGAGGACCGGGGCCGACACCAACCCGACGCGCCCGCTGCCCGTCGCAGGGACGGCTCAGCTTAGGAGGAAGACGCAGCTCCGAGAGGGAGGCAGGCGCCCGGAGGTGTCCATCGACCCCGGGACCCCGCGTGTGTACGGCGGGTAGGAGTTGTGGCGCCTGGGCCGGCAACCCACCCACCCCCACCCCGACCCAGAGGACTGGGCGGCTGGGAGGGGCCGCCCGGGTGACGTCCGAGAGACGGAGTGCGAGGTGCCACGCAGCCTGTCCCGAAGGGCCACCCCACCCCGCTTCCCCCGTCGCTGGCGCCGGCCGCCGCTGGCGGTCAACTCACATCCAGGGGTCTCCACCCAGGGCTGATGCCCATGCTGGTTTGATTAGCGGCGCTGGCCGCCGCCGCCGCCTGATCCCTTGCCTGGGAGCCGGCCCTGGACTTTACCAACTGCGGGTTTCCCTTTCCGTCCTGCTTGCTGGCCTTGCACTTGGGAGGCAAGGCTGACAGGCGGGGCGGGAAACGCCGAGGAAATGGAGCTGGGAAGACTGGGAGGGAGGGGCTGTCCGGGAAGGTCAGGAGAGAAGGAGGGAGTGGGGAAGACCCCCGTGCTCCCACGCACCCACCCTCCACACGCTGTGGCCACCTGTGGCGCTCAGCACCTGGGGCTTGAGCGCCCGGGCTTGGAAACTTGGAGCCAACTTCCCCAAGCCTAGGGTGGCCAGCACGGATACCCTTAACGGCCTCTGGCTGGGCCTGGAGATAAGCGCTGTTTGCCGTCAGTCTTCTCCCACACACCCAGCGCGTGCCCTGTGCATGCTGACCTCGGATCTCGTAACACGTCCTCTGGCCGCCAGGTCCCCCTGGCAGAGCTCCCCAAGCCGGCGACTGGGGGCCGCCAGGGAGGAGTCCCTCCCTCGGCTCCTGGGGGCTGGAATTTCCAGCCTGTCCCGAAGGTGTGGTTCAAGGTCTGCCCCGGCTCTTCTGTTGACGATCCTCTTCTGAAATGTCAACAGGGAGACAGACTCTGTGAGGGGGCGGGGGATGGGATTCCGGGGTGAGCGGTTGGCCAAGGGCCCTAAGCAAGGAGAGTTCTGGAAGGAAAGAGACTCCCTCAGGGCCTCACTGTGGCCGGGCACCTACCCCTGGGCCCGGGCGGGCCGTGTCATCCCCCCCCCCCCCCCCCGCCCTCAGGCTGCTGGTTATTGCTATCTGCAGCAGCGGCTTGGCCCGGATTGGCGGTTTCAGTCGCCTGGGCATGCACCTGGGGCGGGAGGGAGTGAGTGTGCAAGGCTCGACTCAACTCCGTCTGTGTTTTTATTCTGGGTTCCGGGGGTCAGAGGGGAGGGGGCTGTCATTGCCGTAGCTAGTGAGAAGTGGACACCCCCGGGGTACCCGTGGTTTAGGAAGTGGAGGAAGGAGACTCAGGGGTCAAGGTGGGGGCTACCAGGGGCCACCTGTGGAGTGGCTGGCCGGGAAGGACCCTCAGCTGCTGAGGACAGTGCCTGGCCACAGTGGGTCCTGTCCTTGTCCCCTGCTAGGACACAGCCAAGGCCTCTGGCAGGAGAGCAGAGGGTGCCCGGGCCAGGGGCTGGGCCGCGGAGCCCTCCTCCCCTGCCTGGAGGCAGGCCCCTCCCCAGCGCCTGCGGGGAAGGCCTCTTCCGGCAGAGGCTCCCTAACCAGGCTCCCTAACCATAGACCTAGTGGCGCTGGCGCAGATTCCACCTCATTTACATGCAGATGTATTCCTGCTTGCATAAAGCTGCTGTCTGACCTGTAGGAGCACCTGGCAGCTGGGGGGTGGGTGCGGCTCGCCCCCTTTTCTCCATCAGGGTCCTTTCCTGGGGGTCCCGTGTTTCTGGACTGGGGGAGAGGGTGTTTTTGCACTGTCTGGGTTCGTTGACTTGGGATGCTGAGCTGGTGCATGCAGTTGAAAGGGGTGCCGGACCCCATCGGCGTGGTCCCAGAAGTATAGCCTGGGAAGGGGGGACATTTGCATGGAGACGCTGCTGCTACTGGTGCTGCTCCATCTTCCTCCCCGCCCCTCGCCCTGTGCTGTCTCCCTTCCCTGGTCCTGGGATGCCTCACCAGGCCACCTGTTTGAGCTGTGTAGGGTGAGGCTCATCCAGGGCTTGTCTTTCTCTTTCCCTGTCCTGGGCCTCTTGGTTTCTCACCTGGCACCCTTGCCTTGGGTCTGATGGGCCACCCGTCCCTGCCTCGGCCCTAGGGGAGGGAGGAGGCTGCACCCTGGATTCAGCACCTTGGGGTGGTCCCTGCTCTTTATGAACTCCAACAGTTATGGGTATCCTGCCCTTGGGGCATGATGAAGATCTGTTATTTCTAACTTCTCCCACCCAGAAAGACAGCCACCCAGCGGGGAAATGGCATTAAAAGATCCATGTTTTCTGCGGGAAAAGATGGTGAATGTGTCACATTTTCTGCAGACTTCAGCACGTGGAATTTTCCCCACCAGGGGTCTGAGGCTCTTGGGTGACACTGAGAGAAGGAGTGACACCCCTCCCGTATGCTTGCAGCAGCTTTGGTCAAGAGCCTGGCACTGAGTGTCTCCCTCGCGGGTGGCTGGACTCAGCACTTGAACCTCATCTGCCGCCTCCAGGGTGGGTGAGCAGGAAGGTGGATCTGAAGTGAATTGCAGCCAGGACTGGAGCCCGTGGGTGTTGCCAGTTAGGGGAAGGGAGGAGAGTGCAGGTCAGGGAGGCTGGGCAGGAGGCAGGGCCTGACTCTCCTGCATGGATGACCACTCTGAGCTCTGATCGCACTCAGGAAGACTGCTCCCTGGGCAAGACAGAGGGCAGGGACGTGTGGCCAGGTGCGTGGGGGCAGGTGTGAGGAATGGCTAAGCAGATGTGATGGGGAGGAGGGGGCTGGTTCCAGAGAACCCCTGGGAAGTTGGAAGATAGGCTAGTATTCTCTCTGAGTGAGGTAGGGCACCCGTTGCCTGTCGCCCTGTGCCATTGAGGACAATCATTTTGCTGAGGGCTGATCCTGCCCAGGCTTGGAGAGGGCATCCCCGTGGCCCCTGAAAGTGCTGGACGGGGCACTGATGACCAGAGCCCTGACCACTCCGGGTGTGGTCCCCCAGGACTTAAAGCTGTCCACATAATGTCCACGTAGGTGTCAGGGGACAGGCTTCGAGTGATCCCAGAACGCAATGAGCACAGTGGGACAGGGGAGGGGAGGCGATTGGCCAGGGCCTGGGCAGCCCCACAGGGAGTACCCGGTGGGCACCTGTGGTTCCCCAGAACCTGCTGCTTCTGCGCACACTGCTGGTAGCCTCCCCCAGGAGCAGGCTCTGTGCCTTTCACAAAAGAGGAGAGTTAGAGAGAAGGGAAAACAGAGAATTGGAGGTTTTCCATCTGCTGGTTCATTTCCCAGATGGTTGCAGTGGCTGGAGCTGGGCTGATCCAAGCCAGGAGCTTCTTCCAGATCTCCCACATGATTCCAAGGACATAAGCCACCCTCCTCTGCTTTCCTAGGCCATAAGCAGAGAGCTGAACTGAAAGTGGAGCAGCTGGGACATGTGCCACTGCCCATATGGGGGGCTGGTACCCCAGGTAGAGGCTCAGCCTACTGTTCCATGGAGCCAGCCTCTGGGCCTTACAGTTCTTTAAAGTCCAAAGAACACATGCTCCCCAGGCTGCAGCCAGGCCCAGGCCTGGCAGGTGACCCCAGAGCGCCCGCGTCCTTGCCGCCCATTGGCATCAGTTCCCCATGGTGTGTTGGCACAGCGGTGAGTGATGGTAGGCACCCACTGGTGTCATTACTTTGCCAGGTGGCTCCTTTGATGTTAGCAGGCCTCGGCTGAAGTCTGGGTGTGTGTGACAGGACCGTGGTGGAAGTGGGGTGGTGACTCTGAGCTCCATTAATGCCAGTAGTGTGGTCATGCTTGGTGGGGGACCCTCAACGCTCCTGGTGGCCTGGGTGGCCTCGCCCCCAGGAGTGGTGAGGGTGGACACAGCCACCTGGCTCTCTCCCAACTGCTCCTTGCGAGGTTGCCTTGCATTTATCTGTAGGGCAGCAGCCTTCATGCTCCCTCTTTGATGTGTGACCGAGTCGTGTAGCAAAGACCTGGGAGCAGCATCAGCTGCAGGTGGCAGGGGACGAAGATGGGGAGGGGTTTGGGCTGTGACACTGACCTTCCTGCCTCCTCCAGCCACCATGGAAAATTCCAGATGCCCTAGGATCGAAGCCCGGAGGATTAGGGGAGGACATAGCCAGGTCCGCAGACACCATCAGCAACACGGGGGGTGGCTTCAGAAGGCTCCTTGAGAGCAGAGTGAGGGAAGGAACTGTGCATGGTATGTTTGAAAACTTTTCCACCCAAGTAAATTCATGCCACATGGTATCCAGCCAACAGGGCTGTTGTGGGTCCCGATGCAGACATTCACTGTGCACCCGGCAGGTGGGCCAATTGCTGGCATGAGGCTCCGTCCTTGGCACACACCGAGTGCCCTCAAGAACAGACACCTGCTGTGATTCCCTCGTTCTTTGCCTTGCTGCCCAGCTCTGGGTGGAAAGCCCTTAGGGTCTGGCCCTGTGGCATTGCCAAGTTTAAAAACTCAAAACAAACCATGTGGATGAGGCCACAGAGTGGGGCGAGTGTTGGTGAACTCTACCCTTAAGGCCAAGCCAGCCACAGAGAGAAGGGCAGCCCAGGGTCGGTCTCCAGGTGTGTGGCTGGCCAGCGGGCTGCTGGGGATGTGCGATGGTGTTGACCACATGTTTAGTTCCCAGTTTCCGATTGGCTGATTTTGGATGCAATGACCATGTCACCGATGATCTTGCAGCATTAGAAATTGTGGCAATGTTTGTTATTATCTTTCACCAGCTACTGGAGATTTTTTTTACCGGTGCTTCCTTAAACTTCAGATTGCAGATGGAGGAGCCTTGCTCTGGCTTCCATGGAGTGCTGGCACCCCCTACCGCCCTGCTCTGGAACAGCCCTCCTCAATAAGAGGTGGTTAGGATTTTCTTGGATGCCAAGCTGTTCAAATTCAGGCCCGAATTGCCGTGATTCCTGGTAGTACAGCTAAGACAAGAACTCGACAGAACTCTCAGGCCGTCAGCAGTATTTGGAGTACAAAAACAAAAGCCGAAACGCTCCTACCACCTTATGGCATTTCATCACATGTTACAAAAAGAGGATGTGAAATTGTTAAAGACAAGTATTTTAACAGTGTTAAGACTATCAAGCCCCAAAGCACATAAGCCACACAAGGAACAGAATAAAAATAATCATTTGTTTATTTGAAAGGCAGAGTTACAGAGAGAGAGAGAAATCTTCTGTCTATGGACTTACTCCCCAAGTGGTCGCAACGGTCAGGGCTGGGCCAGGCTGCATCCAGGAGCCAGGAACTTCATCCGGGTCTCCCACGTGGGTGGCAGTGGTCCATGCTGCTTGCCCAGCCCATAGTCAGGGAGTCCATTTGGAAGTGGAGCAGCTGGGACATGGCACCAGTGCCCATATGGGATGTTGCTGGCAAAAGGCAGAGACTCAGCCTACTCTGTCACAGCATGAGCCCCCTACTTCCTTTCTCATATGGACTTCCCTGCGGGGGGCTGTGATGAGAGGTGCAGTGGGAGTCACTGCGGGCCAGCGTGGGGCGTGGGGTTCAGGTCCCTGGTGGGCGGTGTGTCTGTGTCATGGTCCCGCCCACTCGGCCAGGTGAAGCTCTGGCGTTTCCCTCCTCCCTGGCATGGCAGGCACATGGCTTGTCTCTCTCAACAGGCACTGGGACCCAGGGGGTGGGCTGGCTGCAGCCAGCAGTGTGAGGCTGCCCCTATGCTGGGGACAGCGACCTAGGCTCACCCCTCCCCCTCCTTCCACTGCTGCTAGCCTGTGGTCCTGGGCTGTGCCCTGGTCAGGGCCCAGGATGCCCTTTGAGGAGGGAGAGCTCCTGCACCTCGCTGTCCCCCACCCCATTGTGCCCCATTGGTGTGGGCACAAATATTAATGTATTCACTGTGGCTTTGGGCCGTCTTCCACTGCTTTCCCAGGCCACAGGCAGGGAGCTGGATGGGAAGTGGAGCAGCTGGGACACAGACTGATGCCGAAACAGGATGCTGGTGCTGCAGTCAGAGACTTAGGCTGCTATGTCACAGTACTGGCCACAGCAGGCTCTTGAATGAGGTTGTCAGTCTCCAAGTGCAAGGCGAATGCTCGTAACGTAATCTGAAGGGGCAAAAGGCGCACGCCGAGGCTGCTGAGAAGGGGCATGGGGAAGGAAGGTTCTGGGTGTGGCAAAAGGAAAGCTGGGCCAGCTCGTGCCCACAGCCATGCCCATGGCCACAGTGAGACCGAGTGGAGGTGCCAGAGGCATTCCATGCCCACACCACAGTGGCCATGCCCATGCCCACAATGTGCATGCCCATGCCACAGTGACCATGCCTATGACTGCAATGAGCATGCCCACACCACAGTGACCATGCCCAGGGCCACGGTGAGACCGAGTGCAGGTGCCAGAGGCATTCGGGAATGGAGTTTGGCACTGGCTGTGCTTCCGGGCATGTCTTGCAAATTTGGCTCGTGTCTGGACCCCCATGGGCGTCTGTCTCCAGGAGCACCTGCTGGTTGTTTCATGAGGGACCTGCATCCCTGTCTGCTCCCCTGACCTGTGGCTGTTTCCATCTGCATTGCAGGCCTGCTCGCCATCAAGAACGCACAGGACATCGAGAGCCGGCTGGACGAGGTGGAGAAGCTGCTGAAGCTGGTGATCAGCATGCCCTGTAAGGTGAGTGGCTGGCCTGGCTGCAGGCTGCGCAAGAGAAGGGGGAGGAGGAAGGAAGGCCTCCTTGGGTCCTGCTGGCTTTGTCTACCCCCGGGGTGGCGAGGGGGAGGGATCTGATGGGGGCACCACGTGGGGAGGGTCTGGCTCTCTGGCCTGTGCTGAGGACAGCCTGTGCTTAGAGGGCGGAGCTGGTTGGCGAGAGGCTGATGGAAGCAGCCAAGGGAGCCGCCAGTGTCAGCAAGGGTGACGGCAGCCTCTGTGTGCTCATGTGGCCAACAGCAAGGGGACATAGCTCATGTATACAGAGAGGGCGGTGTGGACAACATGCCAGCATTCAGATACCTGGCCGGAAATCCTGCTGTTAGCACAGCCCGCCCCGGCATTTTCCAGCCCTGCATCTTAGTGAGCTGAGCTGAGCTGGGGCAGGAGGCGGCGGAGAGCGTGGTCTTGCCAGGCCTGGCTCTGGCTGCCTGGGCTGGGCAGGGGGCAGTGGGAGAGTGGCCTTACGAGGCCTAGCTGTGCCTGCCTGGGTGTTGTCAGCCGGCAGGTCATTCCCTGCTGTTAGTGGACAGCAGCAGGGTCATCCTGTCACACAAGCAGGTGTGGCCGGCGGTGAGAGCTCTCCGTCTTGTCATTCCTGGGGTTCCCTTCCAGTATTCCAGGTCGGAAGTCGTGCTGACTTTCTTTGAGAGGTCACCCCTGGACCAGGTGCTGAAAAATGACAATGTGCGTAAGATTCAGCCCAGCTTCCAGAGCCCCGTCAAGATCTCAGGTGAGAGACCGCAGGGACGCAGCTGGCTGGGGCGAGATCAGCAGAGGGGAGAGAGTGGAGCAGAGGGGACAGAGCTGTCCACAGGGGAGACGGGAGGATGAGTGTGGGGCAAAGCCATGTGCCACCCTCCGCCTGCCCCAGGGAGATGCATGTGTGGGCAAGTTCTGGGACCTGAAGCAGAGGCAGGAGGTCGTGTGTGAAGGTCTGCCGTGTGGCTGGTGCACCTGCTGCTGCCTGCATGTGGCCTTGCCCTCTGGTCGGGTTTCTGTGGACCCTCGCTGGGCCCGTGGGAGGCTCAGGAGAATCCTGGCCCCTTGGCTCTATAGCTGGGAGCAGGTTGGGGAAGCCCCTGCCCTGTATGTGTCTGAGCTGGGAGGGGCCTGGCGTGGGCATCTGTTCTGGGGATAACAGAGAATGCAGAGAGCAGCCCCTTCTCTCTGAGGGCCTTGTGCTGAGAAGTGGGGGGCCCCAAGGAACAGCCCGGTGGGCTCAGCCCCAGCCTTGCATGCCCCCAGCCTGGCTGTATTAGCCAGGGGGACACAGCTGGGCCTCTTGTTTGTCCTGTGGGCTGGCCAGAGGGAGATGAAGCAGAAGAGGGGTGAGGGCAGCACCCCCACACATCACAGCTTTGGAGATGCTCTTTTGGGTCTCACTGCAAAGGACCAAGGCCAGGGAGCCTGGAACCCCCTCTTCCATGTGGGTGACAGTGGTCCCAGTTCTTGGACCATCTCCCATTGCCTCCCCAGGTGCGTCAGCAGGGAGCTGAACTAGCAGCCAGGATTTGATCCAAATGGGATTTAGGTGTCACACAGACAGGGGCTTAACCTGCTGTGCCATAATGCCAGCCCCAAAGGGCAAAATTGACTGTGGCGAACAATCCCTTTCCAAACCACCCTTGGGATGGTCGCAAAGCCGCCCCTGTCCTGCTCCACACCACACTCTCCTGTCTACCATCCTCCCCTTCCCCCTCGCTTGTGAGCCTGGCTTCCCAGAAGTCATGTGAGATCTTGGAGGTGATGGAGCGTGGAGGCGGGATCCAGCACTCCTCAGCGACTGTCTTTGGTGGCACACCGATGTCTGACGGCACCTGAGGCTGCTTGTGCAGGCAGTAGGGCCCAGGCACCCCTGAGTGCCTTCAGACCACAGAGGTCACTGTGGCCAGCTGCAGTTATCTCCCAAGAGTGGGGTCAAGATTCCAGCTTCGAGTCAGTGGAATATAGGTGCTGGCTCAAGTCCTGGCTGCTCTACTTCTAATCCGACTCCTTGCTTGTGGCCTGGGAAAGCAACAGAGTGCTTGGGATCCTGCACCCACGTGGAAGACCCAGAGGAAGCCCCTGGCTCCTGGCTTCAGATCAGCCCAGCTCTGGCTGTTGTGGCCATTTGGGGGAGTGAACCAGTGGATAAAGGTCAGAGTTTGCAACAAACCATGGAGAAAGTGGGTCTACACTCCCACCTCTTTGATGGGGTGGAGCATCCTCTTCGCTGTCTCTGGTCTCCAGAGAAGGCATGGACCTCGGAGCTCCCAGCTCACAGCTCCTTCTAGCCTCCAGCCAGAAGGAGTGGGCACAGAGGCAGGCAAGGATGTCCTGGGGGGTGTGGCTGGTTGAGGGGGCAGTGTAGTAGCAGACCCCTGAGTCAGGAGACTCAGGCAGAAGGGGGAGGGGGCAGGAATTTTAGGCGTGACTCAGCAGATCAGGTGGATGAGCCAGCAGGTCAGCCTGTTGAGTCATCATTTTGAACCCCTGGGGAATGACAGGAAAGTCGTTTTTCCTTTCTTCATGTTTAATGTTCCCTGATTCTTTTGGTACGGAGAGAAGGTTCCAGAATGAGACATAAATACCCTGACAGACTAAAAATAAGCAGGAAGTGACCATTTCAGTTATAAAAAAAACAGACCCATATGTGGGAATAAATTGATTTCGCTTGTGGTGTCAGATATAAAGGACACCAGTTCCGTCGGCAGTGCAGGACTGGACGCCCTCCCGCTGGCTGAGTCTGTCAGCAGTGCCCTGGTGGCTTGCTGGGCTGGGAGCGGCGGGCGCTGTCCCTTGCATGCCAGGGTCCCCAGGGCAGGTGGTGGGCTGACTTTAGGATGTGAGTCACAAAAGCTTTCTTTGTACAAATGGACACAGGCGGTCGGCAGCGGGCAGCCACTGGGAGTGTGAGAGCGAGCCGGCTTCCCAAGGAGCAGGCAGGCATCCTTGCTGGGGGACCCTGAACGGCACCCAGACCCACTCTTGTACAGGGAACAAAGTCCCTCGGGACAAGTAGGTCAGCGGTGCTGCTGGCGCCCATGGCTTCTGGATGCTTGCATTTAACCCACGACTGATGGCATTATTCTACTGAGCATGTGCGGGACACTCTCCACAAGCATTCGGATGTTTTTCCAAGCTGAGTGCCAAGCCGGGGGCTCCTGGCTGGGCTGGGCCGAGCTGAGGTCGCACTCCATGCCCCAGCCCAGCTCAGGTTGTCCCAGATGTAAACCTACCACACACAACAGTGCGTTTATAAATGGACCAAATCCCACACGGGTTGGAAAAGGTATGAGAAGCTAGGTAGACACAGGATAAGGTGACCGCCAGCCCTGCCGGGAATAACTCCGTGGCACACAGGCACAAAGTGGGGAGACTTGGAGGCCTCAAACTCCTACCCCTCCTGACGCGTCAATGTCTGATTTTCAGAAATCATGAGGTCCAACGGCTTTTGTTTAGCCAATACGGAGACCATAGTCATCGACCCCAGTATACCCAACGGAAGAGACCAGCCCCTGGGCGTGGATTCCCCAGAGCATCTGTGAGTATGTTTTCGTGGAAGGGGTTCCCCAGCCTTGGCCTTCGCTAGGAGGTGCTTGCCATCCGGTTGGAGTGTGGGCGTGGCCAGAAGTATCCATGTTTGTCGACTTACTGTTTAAGATTTATTGTATTTGAAAGGTAGCTATAGGGAAGAAGGGAGAGACAGAATGGGAGAAATCTTCCATCTGTTGATTCACTCCCTAAATGGCTGCAACAGCCAGGGCTGGGCCATGACAGAAGCCAGGAGTTTCTTCTGGATCGCCCAACTTAGGTACAGGGACTCCAATACTTCCCGAGGTCATTGCCAGAGAGCAGGATCAGAAGTGGAGCTTCCCGGACTTGAACTGACGCCTGGATGGGATGCCAAGGTCACAGGCAAATGCTGAACCTGCTAGGCCACAGCACCAACACCACGGAGATTGGTTTTAAACATTGGCTTTCTCTCGAGCTTGTTTAGACTTCAGTGTGCCAGCCTCGGGAGAGTCCAGGTTGCCGGCTCCGAGCGGCTGCACGCTCTGTGCTGCTTTGGCATCCCTGGACAGAAAAGCCACACGCCTCTGTCTCTAACTGCTTTCCTGGATTAGGATGACCGGTTCTCTGTGGTTCACTGGGTGGCCCGTGACCCCATTGCATGGGATGGAGGGATGGCCGGGTCCCTGTAACTCACCAGGTAGATCCTGACCCGTGGCCCCATTGCATGGGGCAGAGGAATGGCTGGATGGCTGGTTCCCTGTGGCTCACTGGGCGGACCCTGGCCCATGGCTCCATTGCACGGGCAGAACAGGTGTCTGTGTGCACTGACCCATGTGCCCCACGCAGAGTGGACCTTCTGGTCAGTCTGCTCTAGAAAGCCCCGCAAGGTGTAGTCACCCTTGTCTTCTGTGTCTCCACCTCTCTGGTGGAGTCCTTGGCCCTTAGGCAGGGGTGAAGGACAGTCCTAGGCGGCTTGTGTGAGCTCGGGCAGCTGTGCAACCTCTCCCAGCTGCTCTTCACTTCCATTGGCTCCCTCGTGGCTGGGGGTGGCACTCCAGGTGGCCCAGAAAGGTTGCACAGCACCCTACCTTGGCCTCTCAGGCTGCAGAGCCTCCTACTGTGGGGATAAGACACGGTTCTTAGCACACCGGTGCCTGGGTCCTTGCACAGGGCACAGCTCTGCGTTGGCCCCTTGCGTCAAGCACCTGCTTTCTGCCTTTCTCATTCTCCACATAGCTGACCCTCAGCTCCTGTCCGTCCTCTTCCAGGTTTGAGAACAGCAACGAGTTCACCTCGGAGCTGGAGGAGGGCGATGACCCCGCAGCGTATGTGACCAACCTGTCTTATTACCACCTGGTCCCCTTTGAGACGGACATCTTGGACTGAACCTCTGCAGTGGGCCTCCCTGACCGACCTCCACCCTTGACCGTCAGTGCAGACGCTGCCCGTCGCAGCGCCAGCGTCTGCTGTGCATGGGTGCGTCTACCTGTGTTCCTGGTGGCCACGACTAAGCCACCAGGTCCCCCAGCGGCCGAGGTCACGTCCCGGGAGCCACGTGACAATGCTGTTCCGAGGGTCTTCTCTGCACGGATGCCACCAGCTGCCCTTTGCACCTCGGGCCTCACTGTCCAGGACGGGGACTCCAGGCCAGCTGGGCTGCACTGGCTGGTGGTTCTGTCTCCGGGCAGTGTGCCCCCACCATCCCTCCCGGGCCAAGGCACAAAGCATTCCAGAGGAGCTGCTGAACAACACCAAGCTCTGGGCCTCGCAGATAAGGCACCTGCTGTCTCCCCCACGGTGTGCCCCAGAGCTCGGAAGCTCTTGCCTCTGCTTTTCATCTTCTAGCTGAAAACAGTCTTCTCATTCAAGAGGGAGCTTGCGTGGGGAATATTGGCTACAGAGAGAGGGGACCTCACGCCCGTCACGTGTCCGTGTGAGTGGACTTCGGGGTCCGTGGTTTGGTTCTTTCTTGGCTCACCAGCATTGCTGCCCCTTAGTGTACTCTGAGAAGGCAGGGGAATCGAGACGGGAGCTCCAGGCGGCGGCGCCCACCGTGGGCCCCCGTGTCTACTAACGACCAGCGTCTGCTAGTGTACATAGTGGTAAATTATTGAGATTTCTAATTCTTTTACACAGTCTGGTTTTTAATCTATTTTAATTAAATAAAAGCTGTTACTCTGCTCCTTTCTGGGTCGGCTCTCCGGGTATGAAGGTGTGGTCCTCTGGATGTCTATCCAGCCAAGGAGGGGGACGGTAGCCTGAGCTAATCCCTTGGGGCCACACGCATTAGACAACTGAACCAGCACACGTAGGGCCATGGCTTCTCTGTCTCTCTGTAGCTCTGCCATTCAAACACGTAACTGAGCGAATAAATAAATCTTTAAAAAAGAGCAGAAGGCATTAGAGAGAGCAATTTGGCTGTTGGTCATGCTGCTTGCAGCACACCTCAGTGCCTGGCTCCATCTTTCTGATGTGGCTCCTAGGAGACAGGGGGTCAGGGGTGGCTCAGGTCAATGGCACTTGCCACTCCTGTGGGAAACCCTAGCTGAGTTTCCAGCGACCTGGAAACAAATGCTCTCTCTCTCATCCTGTGTATCCATCAAAGAGATAATCTTTTAAGGAACTACACTGTGAATGCTTGACCCAGGCACTGATGGATTAGAGCCCCTAAGATGAATGAAGAGAACGGGGGACTTCGCAAATGGAAGATCTATGAACCCCAGCCACTCCCAAGCCAGCGAGGTGCTGAGACACGGCTTGGGAGGGAGTGTTGTCCCCAGGCATCCCACTCACCCGATACCGGGATGGGGAGAGCATGTTGGCAGGCGGGTGGACGCAGCAGGTGAGGTTGGCCAGCATCGTCCACCAGATGGCGCTGCCTGGGCACAGCTCAGGTTTGCGTCTGCGGTGCCCTGTGCTGCTGCTGCTGCCCCGGAGGCCCGCACTCCCTCCTGGACACTCACCTATCCCCAGTCTTGAGACGCTTTTCCTCCTGCACCAATGGGATTTGCACATCCTGATGCTCGTTAAGGTTAAGTGTGACTGCCAGAGTAACACAAAAACCTTGGGTACGATTTTATTTATTTACTTATTTTGAGCAAACTGCAAGAGATGCTCATCGAAAAACTAAATCTTGAAAACAGCATGGTGGCACAGTAGGTTAAGCCTCTGTCTGTGGTGGCAGCATCCCATACGGATGTTGGTTTGAGTTCCAGATGCTCCACTTCCAATCTAGCTCCTGGTTAATATGCAGAAAACAAAGCTAGATCTCTGGGGTGGTTGGCTAGCTCATTCTTTTTTTGAATCTAATATCAGGAGATTCTTGTGGCTATCTTCCCTTGGAGCCTTCTGCACCTGACCTACATTGCCAGTTGGACTTGCTAGCGAGGCTCACAGAGCATGTCAGAGTTGAGAAAGGGCTTCCCTATAACATCTCCAAGTGACTAAGCTGGCTTAGAACTCATGAAAGGTCATCTCTGAAACACCTGCACAGCAGCTCTGCCCTTCTAACCCGCAGTTGGCAGTGATGGACAGCCTCAAAGAGCTTCGTGGAAGCTCTGGCGGTCTTTGTCCCATTGTCTCAGTTACACAGGGTTGCCTCTTACTTGCTTCAGCTAGTGGTTGCTCTCAGGTATTTTTCTAATATTTAAGGTTAAGTCCATGCCCATGGCTGAAAAATCCTCTTTAAGACCTACAAGAGAGTGGATCAGACATCAGCCAGGTCCGTGATGCCATGGAGTAGGTCACGAGAGAGTTTTGGGTCTGAACTATAACAGCTCGGTGAGGTGGCAGCTTGCTCACATCCCACATTCAGACAAGGCATAAACTAGATAGAGGTCAGCAATCAAAACAAGGAGGTCCTCCAAGCAAAGAAACCAAAGAGCACGAGAGAGTGGAGCAAAGGAGCAACCAAGGAGTGACTAGTGTTCCAACTCCTGCTCCATTCACCCTTCACGGGATGGCCCCCAGTGAACAGTAAGTGCAATGTGTGACCAGCAGGCTAGCCGTGTGGCCTGTTCGCGCCCCACCCCTCTCCCTGAGGCCAAAGCCAAGTAGTGGGCGGTGCCCCCAGGGAAGGTGCCACCAGCATCATCCTTGTGTGATTATTGCTTCCAGAGCTCCTTCCCTACCACATCAAGGAGAGCTTGGAAAGGGTCCGTTCCAGTCCTTGCATCTGTCCTGCTCTTCTTTTGGAGGTTTGGTGGGAATCTTGTCTACTGACGGCTGTTCCAAAAAGCCCACCAGCACCAAGTTGGGTTGATCATTAATCCGCCTTCTTAGGTAACTTTCACTGGCTTGGTTCCTTTGTGATAATCATATCTTATATTTTTCATACACCCTGCTTCTGTCTCAGGAAGTTCGTTTCTCCTAAGTCAGTCATGGATGGCTTGGGCACATCTCTGTTATCGTTTTGACTCTCACCTTTTAGTCTCTTGACCACTTTTGAGTGCATTTTCTTATAGGATGTGAAGCCATGGTATTTTATTACAGCCACTCAAGCCACCTAGGATGTGATCTTTAATGTCTTTCAACGATATTTTGTAGCTTTGTAGTTCTTTTTGCTAAGTTTCTTTCTGAGCAGGTTGGTGTTTTTCTAATGGAAGTGTTTTCTTAGTTTAGTTTTTGAGTGGCTCACTGCAAGTGCGTAGAAATCCAGTTGGTTTTAGCATTCAGATGGACCTTGTGCCCCGCAGTTTCTCTGGCCTCATTTGTTGGCACTAGTTGATTATTTTTTATGGATTTTTAGAAAATATACAAAATTATGTCATCTGTAAACACAGCTGTACTTCTTTGGCAATCTGGATACGATTTGTTTCTTTCTCCTGCCTGGTTGCCCTGTTCGGAACCTCTATTACAATTCTGAGTGGCAGGGATGAGAACAGTTGTCTTGCTCTCACTGTTGATCTTGGGAGAAACTCACAGTTCTTCTGGAGCCTTTCTGCACCTGCCTGCTCCCGAGGCTTCCCTTTCACGTCACTCTGAACTCTTAGAGCCGGGGGCTGGATACGCTCATGCTCTGAGGGCTTTACACCTCACCTGGGAGTTGACACCTTGTTTGTTTTTCCACCTAGATCAGCCTTTCCCACATGACACTAAAATCATACACCTGCTTACAGAATTACTCACCAAGCATTCCTATGAAGGATTCTACCAAAACAGGCAGCATCCAGAAAGGAAAAACAGACACCTCAGGTGGGTTGTGTGCATTCAAAGTGTGATATTTTGGCGAGAGGTGTTGAATTTCCTGCAGCTGTCCAAATGCCTGCCCGACAGTAGCTCCTTGCTTTGGAATAATACACATCTTTCTTATTATCTATGCTGCAGGAATGTTTATACTCAGCTAACATGTGCAAACACGTCACGCAATAAATAAGTAATGTTGGTAGCTATTTCCGTTGAAAACTTCCAAAATGTCTGTTTGTATAAATGTCATGTAAACTTTCAGGTACCAAAAAAGAATAAATCATTCCACCAGTGACCTAGTAGCAAACCCAAACTCAGACGCCACCCTGGACAGCTTCTCTCGCTCAGGGTTGGAGTCTCATCGGGTTTACCTCTCAAACCCGACAGTCTGTTTACTTCTCTGTCAGCGTGTCCGTGGGCTCAGGCCAGGGCTGTCCCTCTCCTGGAATACACTGTGAATCTTTAACTTACTGCTTCCTACAGAGAACTTTGAATCCCAGAGCCCTGACTTAGTCCTTTCCCACAAAACACTGCGCTAGTTACAAGACAAAGGTCTATGTGCTTCACTTGGTTCGGAGTGTCCTGTCTCTTCTTTACCTGAATAATTCCATAGCCTCCTCATGAACCGTGCTTTCTTTAGTCTACTGGACACATGGGATGCTCTCTCTTACCAACCTTTGGCCGTTCCAGGCCCTCTTTCTAGAATGTTCTGCTCAGCAGCCTCCTGTACCAGGTAAGTATTGTCCTTCAGATCCTAGCTCAGATGACACAGTGTGGGAATGGTCCTCTCTCCACTCTCAAATTAGTTCATTTATCATTCACCTTCCTGGCCCAGGGCCCCCTACAATTGTCATTTGCACATCCATTTCTGTGATATTTTTATTAAAACCATCAGTCCTCCTGAAGTGTTCAATCCCTTGAGGTTGTGTTTGATTTTGGTTTCCACCATGCCAACATGTATGTGTCCATTAATATTCAGGTAGTGTTTGCATATTTTTGCTCTTTGCAATTGTCCCATGATACCCGTATTGGAACTCAATGAAGGCAAATATGCTTTGCACTCTCTTCAGATGTTTGAAACAGGGTCAAGCCAGTGCAGGACTTGCATTCATTGTGGGAGACAGGTGAACACGGACAGGCCTCCTGAATGGTGATAAGGATTTCAGGTCCGAGGGGTAGAGAAAGGACACCCAAGCTGGGGATGATGGCGTGAAGGGAAGAGGGTGGGGGGGAAGCTGGGATGTGCTTCCCAAAGATACCAAGGATCTTCCCATAGCTATAAGATGGATGCAAAACTACGTTAGAGACAGCCAGAATAAAGTCAGAGTAAGGGACCCTACGCTGGAGAGACCTCCTGGGGGTGGCGCGAGCTGCACAGCCTGCATCCCTGTAGGACCAGCCTTCTGGAAGAGTCAGAACCCAGTCCTGTGCCTCCTTCACTGGACGGATCTTTATCTGCTGGACATTATGAATTCATTCTTTCTTTAAAGATTTATTTTATTTTTATTGGTAAGTGAGATATACAGAGAGGAGGAGAGATAGAGAGGAAGATCTTCCAGCCATTGGTTCACTCCCCAAGCGGCTACAACAGTCAGAGCTGCACCGATCCAAAGCCAGGAACCTGGAGCCTCTTCCAGGTCTCTCGTGCAGGTGCAGAGTCCCAAGGCATGAGCCATCCTCGACTGCTTTCCCAGGCCACAAGCAGGGAGCTGGATGGGAAACAGGGCTGCTGGGATTAAAATTGGCACCCATATGGGATCCCAGCGAGTCAAGGTGAGGCCTTTAGCTGCTAGGCTACCGCTTCGGGCTTGACAAATTCATTCTTTATCATCCGTCCCTCTTGCTCATTCTTCTCTTAGGCGCCTTCCTTACGCCAAGTCTCAGAAGGGCCCCGTATCCCCTTCTCACTTGAAGGGACACCATGTCACCTGCTGTGCTTCCCACTGCTCCAGATTCTTCTTTGATGACAGCCTTCCTGGAGGGTTTGTTTCTGCATGTTGGGCTCCTCTCCTATTCCTCAGTCCTGTGGTTCTAGCTTTCTCTTCTGCTCTGTTGAGAAACGCGTCCTCTGGCCCCTGACGTGCTCGCCGGTGTCACAGTGGAGAGAGTAGAGAACTCACAGACATTCAGACAAAGGAGCTCATTGTAACAGCCTCTTCTCCTTTAAAATCTCCCAGCACGTCAAGCCTTCAGGGCTGCAGAGCCAAGGGCTCTCAGAAGACACTACAAATGAGATCAGTCCCAGTTAAGTGAATCAACGGCGTGAACACCAATGGGAGCGTGTGAGCAGGAAAAACCAAGCACCAGGATCTTCTCACCTGGCTCACTCAGAAGTGAGTGAGTGTCTCTTCTTTAGCCCAGTCCTGCTCGTGTGCTTGGCCAAAGATAAGGTAGATGATCAGGCCGGTTATGTTAATGGCAGCTGTAATGAAGAAAACATTTCTCCAACCCAGTTCTGGATCCTAGAGACAGGAAACACCAAGTTATGAAGAGTCTCCAAACTCCCATCTATGCTGGCTCATGGAGGCTCTGGCTGCAGAGCTCACTGCCCCTCCCTTAACCCTGCTACGGCGTCAGGCTCTTCCTTGCTGGTGGAAGTTGCCAATGAGGCTGGTAGACTAGCAACGGGAATGCTGCTGGCTAAGACACCCACCTGTCCAACTTTTGCTGAATTGCGACTTTTCAAGCAGTCCTTTCTTGACCTCATTTAAGTTGAAATTCCACCTTGTGATGTACCCTGTTCTCACGTTTCTCTTATCATCTACCTCCATTCAATGTACCACGAACTCCACTTATTTCACTGGTTTTCTATTGGTTTCTTTTCCTGCCATACAGGTTTCATAAGAGAAGGAACTTTTGCTTTCCTGGTTCTAGTGAAGTGTGTGCATGAATGAATGGATGCGTAATGAACAGATTGGCAAATTACAAGGGAGAAACGAGATCAGTGTGAGAATTTCTGTTTCAAACAATAAATTCCCTGACAACGCGTTAGTCAATGACAGAAAGGGAATGAGAGCTTAAAAGAGAGAGAGAGAGAGAGAGAGAGAGAGAGAGAGAGAGAGAGAGAGAGAATAAAACTTATTTTATTAAAAAGAAATGCCATTTCTGGGACTGGCATTTGGTCCAGTTGTTAGGATTCCATGGGTCTGTGTGAATCCCACTTCAGGGGACCTGGGCGAGGGCCTTGGTTTTGCTCCTGATTGAAGCTGCCTCTAATGTACCCCTGAGTCTGCCACCCATGGAGAAGACCCAGACGGAGCTCCCGAATCCTGGCCCAACCATGGCTGTTGTGGGCAGTGGTGGAGGACGACAGCTGAGGTCTGTATGTCTCTCTGTCTCTCTCTGTCTTTCCCTCTCTCCCTCCTCATCTCTTCTTTCAAACGAATCAACAGTTTTGAATAGCCTTCTTTGTTCATCTACATTCACTTTAAGAGTGATGAGTGAACGTAAAACACACCTTTCTTCGCATCTGCATTAATGAGATTCTTGGAAAAACTCAAGTCCCCAAACAAATTTATTGATTTTTGTTTAGGTGAAACACTCGGTTCTAGGTTGGAATTCTATACAATTAGAGAAACAGAAACACTGTTCAGAAGAACATCTCTACCAACTGTACGTGAGCCCATACGTGAGAAAACATTGTTCCCACACACTGACACTCACTCAGCATCTTGCATTATTCATTCTGCAAATATTTGTGGGTTTCTGTGCAGAGTGATAGAATCATTTTGCCAAGAACATTCATTATTCTAACACTAAAAGTCTGAATCCTGGCAAATCCCTCGGTCCCCAGCAAACCAGGGTGCTCCCATTCCACAAGGAGCAGTGTCAGGAGCACTGCTAGAAGTTTTGGTGTTTAGCATGAAAATCTCGTCCTGCAGAACTCACGCAGCACAGATGTGTAATCCCGAGCACTGCCCCTTACTCCACACATGGGAAACTTCCCAAGTAGAGCCAACGGTGGGAAAGAGGGCGCATCAAGTGTTTGATTCCTGAGTTTGCAGTTGAATCAGATTGAAAAGAGAGCAGAACTACTCTTGATTTGACTTCTATTAAGTGCCCTCTAGCTTGATTTTTTCTTATGACTACTCACCAGAGAAATGTTCTCACCTGACTGAGCAAGACTCCAGAGACGCTGGGAGAGATGGCTCCAGCTATGTTCACACACATTTGAAACAGCCCCTTGAGGAAGCTGGTGTACCTGGGGAGGGGGAAGAAGAGGGACATTTCCACATACGCAGAGGGTCACTCTGGGGTAGACTTCTGTTGATCTGAAGGCTTGTAATTGCACCAAGCCTTGGTTCAACTTGAACAAACCATACTAAACAGCGAAGAGCTTAATCCTGTGCTGGACTGCGAGGCATCCAAGACGTGAACTGTGCTAGTTGGCTGATATTGCTTATTGTTTGTGCAGAATGATGGTTTTCACAGGTTTATAGATCTGCTTGTTTATTGCAACTGAACCTGCCTCTGTAGGCTTTTATTGGGGTATAGAGGGACTTGTGTGGCATGACAAAGTTTCTTTCTGAGCCCAAGGTATCACAGACAACATGTCTCAGTGGTTCCTGTCCCGAAGATCAAGTGTGATGTTTGCTGCTACCCAAGACCCTAGAAGTACGGTTGGAAACATAGTCCACTCTGCAAGCACCTGCAGTGGGGATGAGGGTTTCTGCTATGATTCTGTGTCTTTGTCCTTCATGTAAACGAAAACACTGTGGTTTCTCATGACTGTTCTGGCCCCACATCTTCAAGAGAGACATGTGTGTTTCCACCAGCTGAGCTATGAGCAGAATTACCAACTTCTCCTGTTTCATCCTTTTAAGTCTTCTTTCACATCGAGTTCACCCTGACTGACCAGCTCCAGGTCCCCTGCAGGCATTATTCGGGAGTAGGACCAGAATTGACATTTCCTGTGACTTGTGGTACATGTCTCAAGTTATCTGGGTGTCAGATTGAGGGCTGCTGGACCCTCAATGAATTCCTAGGAAGGAGGCAAAGGGATCCCTACCGAGGAGCGATGTCCACGAAGTTCACTAGGGCTCCTGATTGGCTGAAGCTGCTGAAGACAGCAGACAGGACCAAGAAGACCATGGTGGCTCCTTGGCTGGATCTGACCCAGTGCAGAGACACAAGGACGGCCGATGAGCCGAGGACCCCTGGGGTGCAAGGACACACAGAATGAAGGGCAGGCTGCCTGAGCGAGTGGCTCCCAAGCACTCCTGTGCCCAGCACGCTCCTTACCTATAGCAGTGAAGAGCTTCCTGATGGTGATGAGTCTGAGGATTTTTCTGGAGAGGAGAAAATCTGCCAAGAGACCTCCCAGGATGATGCAGATCCAGCCAGCAACAAACGGCAGTGCCGACAGGATCCCACTCTGAGGACCAGAGATAAAGAGAACAGCTGTGCCATGCCCACCCTCCAGGACACAGCTGACCTCAGATGGGCTGACCACATCCCCAGCTTCCCTTCATATGAGCTAGGGTAAGTTTAGTGCCCGAGGGAACATATGCATATAGCTCACCTTGCCAGAAAAGCGGATGTTGGCTCTATAGAAATCCAAGATTCAGCAGAAAATAGATATTTTAAAAATCAAAGCCAGCAGAGAAACAGTCAAAGGAGATAAACAACTTAAGGCAAAACAGATATAAATGACTCTTAAACATCAAAAATTACACACTCACTTATAACACTAGCAAAACAACGCTACAGAGAGATATAAGTTTTGATGGATCAAGCTAGCAAAAATTTGCAAGATTTTTGGCATGCTCTGTGACAGGTTCTGTTCCCTCTCTCTTCAGACACACACACATAGAGAAGGGGGCAATTTTCAATAAATGTAAAAGTCTATAGGACATTCTGCCGTTGATTCAGCAATCTGATATGCAAAAAATTATTCCATAGAAATAGCCATGCGGTTGCATGAGAAATGAATGAGGTTTTCACTTGCAGCATTGCTCAAAAACCAACAGCAACCCAAACACCTGTCGTAAGGGTGTCGTGTACGGATACAAAAAGATCTTCATGGCATATTTAATGGCAAAAACTTAGTGGGTTGGAATCCCAAAAGTTGTACAAAATAGAATTAAAAGGTAAGTGTGATGTAAAAACACTTTCTTACCCCAAACATAGCTTTCTTACGGCACACTTGTCTATGAGTGTCTCGAGGTGCCCTCACATATAAAACACACCAGCATATGCAGTCTGTACTGCTTTATATAAAAACTGGGAAAATAAACATGACTATTCATGAGTGCTTGCATTCTTAAAAGGAAATAAAATGCAAAATCTAGAAAAGTTATTTGCGGAGTCGTCCAGGAGAGCAGGACCAATCAGAAATATGAATGGGAGTGGGACTTCTCACAACTGACTTTTTAAAGATAGACTTTTAAAGAATGCATTTGAAAAGTAGAGCCACAGGAGAGACAGCGTGAAAGGAATCTATCCGCTCCTTCTCTTCCCAAATTGCTACAAGGGCCAGCACTGTGCTAGACCAAAGCCGGGAGCGTGGTCCTTCTTCCAGGTTGCCCATGTGGGTACAGAGACCCCAAACCATGATCCATCTTCTGCTGCTTTCCCTGGCACATTAGCAGGAAGCTGGGCTGGAAGTGGAGCAGCCAGAACATGACAAACCAGCACCCCTGGGGGATGCCCACACTGCAGATGACAGCTGTACCGTCCACACCACTGAACCGCCCTCCACTCGCTCACTTTTTAATACTGTCTTGAAATTTTGAATTCTATTACGGTCTTTTGCATCTCTAAATTCACATTTTTAAATCTGCCAGGATCAGAGGACTATCGTGCGTAGAATACAAGCACATCATTAAAGGGAGCGATCTTCACCTGGTTCAAGTGGATCATTCGTTTTACACACGAGTAGCTGAGGTCATCGAGGCTCATGTGGCTTCGTCCAAGGACCTCACGTATCCTTCTCCTCCTCATCCTGGGTTTCCTTTCTGGTCCCACACCAGACACAAATCACTTGACCATATAGTGAGGCTCATGGAAACTGTCACCCAGCCCTATTACCTGGTTTTTCTGGTCTTGCCTTGCCCCGAGTGCCTGGTTGGTAAATTTGGTTTCCTTGCTGGCTGAGACCCTGAACCCCTGTAGGAGACAATGGACCACTTTTCTGTTCTGAGGCTCTCTGATCTCAGGACCACTGGCTCCTGACCCCCCATTGAGAAGGTCAGCTTTCTGGAGCCTCTGAGCACGGTTAGAGGAGCTCTCAGTAAAAAGCTACGTTTAGATTACGGAGGGTGAAGATACTAAACAATTCCCAGACTTTGTGATCTGTCACTAGATACCACACCATCTGATGTCCTCTTTGCCACTTGTCTTCTGCAGGTTAAGCAGAGTGCTGGTTTGATTTGTGGCTGCACTGCCTCCAACCCACTTCCCTCTCATGCACCTGGGAAAGAAAGCAGCAGAAGATGGCTCAAGTCCCTGGGTTCCCCCTCCACATGGAAGCCTTGGATGGGGTCCCAACTTCAGTCTGGCCCAGTCCTATCTATTACAGCCATCTGCGAAGTAAATTTGTAAATGCCACACTTTTTTTTTTCAAATAAACAACAATAAATTTCTTTTAAAAAGACATCGCTGTAGCAGAAGTTAAAAGGCTTGCGTTAAACAACCAGAAAACCCGTTCATTCTGTGAAAATTCAGAGAACAGTACAAAATGTTTAATTTTAAATGTCCATAATTTTTATATGTGTCCTATTTGGGACTGTATGTCCTATTTTAAAATTTTTATTGTACTTCTTTTTATTATTATTATTGTTGTTGTTGTTATTGTCATCATTTTAGGACACAGTTCCGTAGACCGTGGGATTTTCCTTCCCTCTTCTCAAGTCCCCTCCCCCACCGCTAAGTTCCCCTATATTATTAGTATAGTTCTTCATAAACAGTCAATTGTCCATCATTGCTGGCATGGACAATGGCAGTATCCTATTGTCAAAATATAGTAAACAGTTTCATTGGGAGTCCATCTATGTCTGGAAGTAGACATGCATACTGCATTGTATCCTCACATCTGGATATGATAGTCTCCATTACACAGTTACTGTACATCCCCTTAAATGAAAAACCACAAAACGAAATGAACAACAGGAAGAAAAACAGAAATTTACAATGCCATGAAGTTAAATAAAATACTACTAGATATGATAGTCTCCATTACACAGCTACTATACATCCCTTTAAATCAAAAGCCACAACACAAAATCAACAACAGAAAGTTAAATAACATGCTGCTGAGTGACTAATGAATGTGTCTCTGAAGAAATGAAAAAGAAAATCAAGAACCTTCTTGAAGAACATGATGCTTCTGGATGATCTAGGAGTCAGTGAACAATTTAATCAGAAGAAAGTGCTTTGAAGAGATGAAACTAACAAAAAAAAATCAAAATCCATGAGATAGAGTTTCCACTGATCTTTTTTGGTGACATATGTCTCCTGTAGGCAACAAATAGATGGGTTTTGTTTTTTGATCCAGTCTACTAATCCATGACGTTTGATTGATGAGTTTAAGTCATTTATATTCAGGGTTAATATGAGTGGGTGGTAATTTGGTTCTGTCATTTTAGCAATGGATTGTTCATTGATTTAGTCTTCTGTGGTTATTTTACTGGGATGTTCTTCCCATTTGCCTTTGGTTTTGGTGGGTGCTATTGCTTTTCTCTGTCGAGAGAACATCTTGAAGTATCATTTGTAGGGCAGGTTTGGAAGAGGTATATTCTTTAAACTTTTCTTCTCTGTGCAAGAATTTCATTTCAATTTCAAACACAAAGGAAAGCTTTGCTGGGTATGTTATCCCAGGCCGACAATTTTCTTGCTTTTAGAATCTGGACTATGTCACTCTATTCCATTCTGGCCTGTAGAGTTTCCTGTGAGAGGTCTCCTGTGAGTTTAACTAGCATTCTTTTATATGTCAGTTGATGTTTTTCATGTGCACATTTACGGATCTTTTCCTTATGTTGGATTGAAGAGAGTTTGGTTTTCATGTGTTGTGACCAAGATCACTTTTGGTCAACCCTGTTGGGAGTTTTGTGCCCCTCCTGGATGTTGTTTCTCAATTCCTTTTCCAGATCAGGGAATTTTCCCCTCATTATTTCATTAAATACACTTATAAACCCATCTCCTCTTTCTGCACCATCTGGAACTCCCGTAACCTATATTTGGTCTTTAATAGTGTGTTTTATCCTTGAATATTTTTTAGCTTAACCCGGTTCTGCTTCCAGCTGTTTGATTGTTTCCTTCTGGTGACAAGGAATGTCTTTTAATTTTGAGATTCTTTCTTCTCCCTCCTTGATTCTGTTTTGGAGACTCTCCATTGTACTTTTAATTTGCTCCACTGTATTCTTCATTTCTGATATATCAGCTTTCATTTGATTCATTTCCAGTGTGACATATTTCTTGAATTCCTTGAATGCCTGTATTACGTGCTTCTCATTGTAGATAAGAAGTTTTTTCACAAGTGTTTTGAATTCTGTATACCCATTTTCTCAATGTCTTCCTCAGTTATCTATGAGGTTGGCAAAGGATTTTGCTCTTTTTGCAGCGGATTCTTCAGTAATATTCATTGTGCCTTTGTCTTTTCTTTTGCTCGTGGTCATTGTACTTCTGGTTAGCAGATTCTCCTTGGGGTAGATTTCTAAGGTAAGTCACCCACAGGTCTACAGTTTGAGTTTACTTAATGCAGTTGGTACATGGCTCTTTGTTTGTGGTCACTTGTGCCACTCCCTCCACTGAGTGGTGACCAGTACAATGCATTGAACTTAGTGAGTTCATCCCAGCTCAGAGCATGCACAGCTCACTGTTGTCCCTGCAGTCTCAAAGGCTTTGCAACACTGTACATAATGGTGCCTAATGTCACAGTGCAGAGTTCTTGATCTATTGGCTGTTAGGTCTGGGGGCTACTTGCACCTGTTTTGGGTGGATCCTGTAGGATGTCATGTCATTGCAATTCACTGTGTCAGAAATGAGTTTGCTCCTAGCTTAGTGCAGGCAAGTTCCTGTCCCATAGCGTTTTCCTCCCTACACAAAACGGTACCCAATTTGATTCTGTTGGGGGTCTTGGCTGTGAAATCCACCCTGTTCCTTTGCCACCTGTGTAGGATCTGCTGCTCTGTCTCTGCTCCTGGTCAAATCAAACAAACCAGCAGGTCGGACAGTTCTTTGTCTGGGTTCACCTCCTGAGCTCCCGGTGAATGTCCCTTCCCACCTGGTTGCTGGTGGATTTCCGGCTGCTGGTGGAGTTCAGATCACTGCTTGCTGGATGGCTCTGGGTATCAGTTACTGCAACACCACACCATTGTGTCCACTGCTTCTCATGTCTGTCAGCCTCCAGGTTCCCCTGTCCTCTTCTATTCCCTGGAATGTGCCCTCTCTACTTCTCCCTGGGTAATGTTTCTCCGATGTTTAAATGTGTCCTCACCCTATTCTGCCATCTTGATTCTCCCTGTATCTCCTATTAATAATGTCTTATTTTCAGTTTAGGCTGTTGATGGATCTTCATCAGTTTTCTCAAAGGCGGAATTTCCTTTGTTCATCTTTTGTTGTTATATCATCAGTGGAATATCCTGTGACAAAATGCTGATTGAAACAAAGATAAAATTTGTGTACAGGTCTTTTAGAAATACGACATTCTATGAATACCAACCTAAGCTAGGCCCCCCTCTATCTTGATCCAGTTAATAGTAGACCATGTTAAGAGCAATCAGAACACAAGTTACCCAGGTTACATTCCCCACCTGGGGATCTTGACCTAAGCTCCGATCCTGTGACCACGGATAAAAGAGAGAACTGTATAACAAAGCATTGAAATGGAAGGGCCAGGTGAACTGTCTCTGTACTCACATCTCTGACGTTGGTTTGAAGCATAGAACTGATGTATGTTGGCATGTATGTCATCACTATTTGCAAGGTCCAGTATTCACAGAAATGAAACAGTAATATGGCCCACAGTGGCAGAGACGTGATCATAGCTTTAATGGGAAGAGACCAGTCTGGCAAGCGATCCTGAAAGAAAGCAACCATCAGTATCCCTCTGCCAGAGACAAGAGCTCCGTTCCAACGCCCTCTTCAGTGAGATGTGCAGACACAGAGACGCGGGGAAGTGGAAGGAGAGTGCTCTGAGTACCTGCTGAGCCAGTGATGCTGCGATGTGTCTCTTCTCATCAGCACTGATAAAGGGGTGCCTCTCAGGGTCATTGTAAGCAAGAGGAAACCACAGAAGACAACAGGCACAGCCAATTCCACCTGGAGAAAGAGGATCCCGTTGGAGTTCTTCAGCTAGCCTCTGCTTGGAGACAATTCCTGAGGTTGAAAGAATGGCCCCCACACTCCACTCCTCCCTGCAACTTGGCCTTTCGATAGCCCTAGCACAGACAGAAAGACTCCCCTTCCATTTGACTTTGGCCTCATCCTTAGTACCTGCTTGTGCCGATGCAATGAGACATCCCAATTAGTGCATTAAGAACAAGTACCCTGTATGTTTATTTGTTTTGTGGGATGTTCTGGCCTTTGGGGGGAACATGTCCTAGCTATTCCATTGACCAAAGCAATGCAGAGACACCCAGCTTGCCTCAGAACAATGAGAGTCAATAACCACTATTTCAAAGCACTCTTTAAAGCATAGCACACCGTCAGTGGTTCTTGCTGCATCTGCCCCAACTGTTTGAAAATACCCACCAGGCATGAGTACCTATCCGAAGCCCTCCCACTAGATGTGCTTGTACAGTTTCTTTCCTCTCCATGCTTCCTGAAAGCATGGAGAGTTCAAAGCGATAACCTTTGTATGTAAAATTAATTACCCAGTTCATGTCTAGACACAAAACGGAATTCATACTCCGAAAACACATTTTCTTCAACATATAAATCATTACACTGTTGAGAAACACAGTGTTATCAGTTTTGAGTGGAAATATGACACTTGTCAGAATTCTCTGTTTAATTGGACCGGCAGGTTAAACTGCCACCTGTGACACTGGCATCCCATATGAGCATCAGTTCAAATTCCTCCTGCCCACTTCCAATCCAACTTCCTGCTAACATGCCTGGAAAGGCAGCATAAGATTCCCAAGTGTTCTTGGCTTTGGCCTGATCCATTGAGGTCATTGGGGAATGAACCCTCTCTGGCACAGTGTGTGTGCGTGTGTGTGTGTGTGTGTGTGTGCATGCGTGTGTATGCTGCTCTCCTTGTAAATCTCCTTTTAAATAAATATATAAGCAATTATTAAATTCCATTTTTAGAATCTTGACAGAAGCCATCCATTTCGCTAAATTTTTAAGGATATAGCATTGCAAAGTCACAGTTTTGTCATCCAGGAACTTTTTCCTTTATATATATATATACATTTACATTATATATATGTGTTTTGCTTTTTTCTTTTATTGGTTTTTCTTTTTAATTTTTTTCTTTGCCATCAAAGAGCTTAAGCAAGTGGGAAGAGTTAGATATGAAAATTAGCAATGGTTGTTCATTAAAATTGAAGGGTATTAATATTAATGCAATAATTACCTAATGAGTTCATACTTTGTGTATACTTCTTACTGGTTCTCAAGCCCTTAAGCACAGCGAGGCATTCTCTTTGAATGATTTTTATGATCTCTGAAGGTTGATGCACTATAGCCATCAATCTCCAAAGATCTTCTGCCCTGGCGCATATATTAACTTGATGCTACAGAATCCATTGGTCGAAGAAGACAATGCCCTAATGAGAAGTTAAGCCGAGTATAACTTGGAGAGTCAGGCAATTTGAGGTAGGAGGTCAGATTTTGCAGTTCTGACACACTGAAGCGGCTGGAGACCCATGAAGGGAAGATGTCACTTCTGGAACCTTCCAAGTGGCTTGGGATCTTTCTGTGTGGAACTTCTCCCCTAGCATCACATGATCTGCCCTGTCCTGCAGTTTCTCCTGATGGATCCTTCATTCCAGCCACTATTCAACCTACCATTAGGCCACATGCACACAATATGCTGGTTGTTGTCATCATATGAGACATTTGGAAGAATGCGTTACATAAACAACCATGCTCAACACCATAACCCCATCAAGACAACATTTCCAGTCTCTTTGAAAGAAATTTCCCCAGAGTTCTTTCATGTTAATTTAGAAAGGGGAAGGAATGCTTTGATGTCTTTAAAAGTCCTAAGGACACTCTGTGTGTCATTTTATAACACATTCAACTCGCATCATGATTAGCTCTGACATGACCAGCATTAGTAGTATAAACACCCGTATCGATTAGGATTTGGCTAACCATAGGCAAGTTTGGACCTCAGAAATTGCATTCAACATTCTGTTCATGAAATAAAATGCTGAGATTTGAAAGGTGCCAACTCACCAAAGATGTAGAAGACATAAGGCCATCCAATGGTCTGGCAAATGAGACCGCCCACGATGAATACCAGGAAGGATCCCAGCATCCCCCCTGAGCAGAAGAGGCAAGGACGGTTTAGACGAAGGACTTGTACTGGTTATCTGCATGCTTCCTATGAAGCTGAGCTGTGCAGCACTGAAGGTGTGAGCCTCAGGGTCACTGCCTCATCCCAGTTCTGGCTCGCTCAGCTCTGTGATCCTCAACAAATTGAGTTCATTTGTAACTCAATTTCCTTGGGCATGAAATGGAGATTATGTTTCATACAGCTCAAGTATAAAAGTAAAATCAATATTTGTAAAAACCAAGAATCTCTGGTATACAGTAAGCATTCCATTGTGAGCAAGGCTTTACAGCAAGTACTATCAAGACAAAGGGGCTGGGGTGGAAGACGTGGGTCCTTCTGAGGAGCGTAGCTTGCAGCCTCTTGGACTGTGTGTTGGGTGGGGACAAGGAGTCGATTACCTGATGCAGCAATGCTGATGAGCTGACTCCTTTCCAGCGGGGGAGCCCATTTGACCCAAATGGAATACTGACCTGTCAAAACCGTGACCTGGAAGGGGACATCCCATTCTCAGACATATGAGATCATTCTGGAACCTATATTGCGAGTGTACTTGGATAATATCTTGGTACCTGGGCTATGCCTTGAATGACGCGGACGACAATGAGTGCAGCCACTCCAGCATCAGCTGACAATGGGATGAGGAGGGTCAGGACTGAAGAAATAAGCAAGCCAGCACCAACCACATACTTGGCTCCAAACACTCCAGCCACGTAGCCACTGGGAAGTGGAGCCACGAATGAGCCGTAGTTGAGGGAGCTGAGGATGACGCCCTGGGTTTCAGGGTTCCAGTCGTATTCTGGGGCCTAGGCAACAGAGAGAAGCTCACTGTCTGTCTTTGGCTGGAGAGCTGACGACTTTCATTGTGAGGACTTGAAGGACAGAAGGAGAGATGCAGGTGAGAGTCAGTTTCCCTTCTTTCTAATTCTCTTCAATTCCTCTAATCAGCTGCATATAAAAAGACAAATGTAGGTACAACCTTTTTCAATGTCTGACAAAAGTCAACCATCCAATTGAAATGTGACAGAGACTGAAGTACAGAGTGTCTTTAAAGAAAGAAGGCATCGCTGGAGGCAGGCCTTTGGTGTAATGACTCAGACAGCTGAGTCCCGTGTTGAAATGCCTGGGTCTGAGGACACTCTGTTTGCAATTCCAGCTGCCCGCCAGCATGCTGGACCCTTACCACCATACATGAGATCCAGATGGAGTGATGTTCATCATTATAGAATCAAAATGGATGACCACTAAGTGGCCTGTTTCCATCCCTGACAGTCCCTGGTTACAATCATAGATCCCAAGTTGGGTTGTTACCCCCTTAGATTGTCTGTTACGTTCTCACGTTGCTCCTGACATGTAATTTATGCTTAATAAATATTTGCCAGTGAAATGAATCACACTCTCTTATAAAACAATCCTTTCCATCAAGTTATTATGAATCAGAGAAAGGGCCCTCTGTCTCACCAAACTTACTATGGCCTGGGATTCCTCCCGCGTTGCGTTCCAGTCGTCCTGGGAGTTGATGGTGACATTGGGCTGGCCCTGCAGGGCTGTGTGGTTCACCATGGCAGTGATGGCAATGCTCAGATTCATTTGTTGGGTGTATATTGAGAAGTTACAGATATGCAAGATGAAGGCCAGTCCATGTCGGACTGAGCAAAAGCCTGAGAGGAGAAGGCACACGAAGGCTCCGTCAGGATGATTCCCCCGATCTTGCGTAAGTTCAGAGAGAGAGAAGGCTGGTATTTTTGTGTGTACCAGAAACACACACACACACACACACACACACACACACACACACACACACACACAGATATTACTCCCCTTGGTCCAGCTCCCAGGAGAAAGCACTGTTCAACAGAACCCACGCCCCATTGGCCAGAGCGAGCATAAAGGAATTGCTTTCCAGGTGGGATCATGGGGTAAACTGGTGAGGATGGGAATAGGAAGAAATTGATGAAGGACTTGGCCAGAGAGAAAGAGAGAGGAAATCGTTGAGAATGGTTCTCGGTGCCTTTTTGGGGCAGCTGGGATAAAAGCCACATTGATTTAACTTGGTAGAGGTTTGCAGGAGATGAATTTTGAAAGATAGGCTGGAGTTGGAAGTATTGCAACTTTGACATAATCCTGCCAGCTAAGCTTGCACAAAGTATGCCAGTACGTCCTCGAGCTCTGGGGCCACGCTTGTGATTGACGACAGCTGGCAGGGTTGATTTGTCCCCCTGGAGAAGGGGATATCATAGATAGAACTTGTGGGACCAACACTGCATCATTCTGTGTGAAATATTCTTGCTGAGTTCCAGAAATTGACATTTGGTTCAAATCCAGGGGTGCTGAACTCTACAAGTCCATGCACTCCAGCCGCAAAAATCACATTGAAAATTTGATGTCAATCTTGTACCATCTTGACGAATCAAGGATGAAAGATTAGCACTTTTATTGTGTTGACTACCCTTAGCCTACTCAGATCTTCAATGCTGCTGCTTTCAGAGTGAAACTTCATAGTCCTCTTCAGAGAAGTCTCACCCGTTTTACAGAAGGACTTTGTGTTGTTTCTGTAGATGGGTTTATTATCCATATGGGTTTGGATTAACAGAAATAATTTAAAAGTTTTATATATATATATATATATATAATAAATATTTTTGTCATTTGCACCAATTATTTTTATTCACTTCAACAACTTAAAAAATCATTTTCAAAGCCATATTACACTGGAATGGTGAGCATGGACCTCCTTCTATGTCTGAATTCATCAGAGATTCTTATACCCTTCGGCATACTACTGGTTGGTAGAGTGACCCGCACTTTAATTCTGAGTTACTCCTGTATTAACATGGTCTTGGAGAACACATGGATTTTGTCAGCTGCATTTCAGTACTACAGTTGGCTTCCTGCTTTCCTGCCCCACGCTTTCAGCTGTGGGTTCCTGTGCAAGTGGCTGAGGTCCTGTGGCCTCTGCTGAATACAGGGCGACAGCCTTGACCAGAACACCACTGAATCAGCTCATGCAGACTCATCACAATGGTTGTTAATGATCCTTGATTACCAAGGCATTCTCAGGAGGATGTCTCATTAGGCTATTTTCAATGAAAAATAAACACATGAATTATTTTTCTCTGGCATTAGCTAGACTCTTAAGCCTATACAATTTAGTGTATGGTCTTGTATGTATGTGTATATATGCGTATACATTTATTTTTGCTGTGTTTCTATCTCACTCTCTGACCTAAAATATTACTATTTTAAGATTCTTATTTCCTACTTTTAAATTTATTTTTTATTGAAATGTCACAGTTACGGAGAGAAGAAGACACACACACAGAGAGAAATATCTTTTATCTACTAATTCACTCCTCAAATGGGTGCAACAGCAAAGCTGAACTGATTTGAAGTCAGGAAGGAGCCTGCTTGGTGTCTCCTTGGTGGGTCCAGGGGCCCAAGGATGTGGGCCAGCTCCTGCTGCCTTCCCAAGCCACAAACCGGGAGCAGGAGGGTCAGTGAAGCAGTGGGGCTTGAACCAGAGCCCAGGTGGGAAGCGGGTGCCACAGGTAGAGGCTTAGCTGGCTATCCCACCATGTCGGCCTCTCTTTTTTGTTTTTAAATAACATTATGATTTTGAATTATTTGAATTGTCAGATACATTGCCATGTTTAACCATAATATTCCACTCTTCCTGAGTTTTATACCCCTTAGTTAGGATTTGCCTGGTGTTTTTCTGATTAGACAGATCTTAAGGTGGAATACCTACATAAATCATTTGAAATTATTCTGCACAAGACACATAAGCATTTCTGCTCCTTAAAAAACCTACATCCAGAAACCTTCAAACTCTTGCAGGAAAATGTAGGAAATACCCTGCAAGACCTAGGAGTAGGTTCCGACTTTCTAAGAAGGACACCAAAAGCAATAGCAGTTGAGAACAGAATAAACAAATGGGACCTCATCAAACTAAGAAGCTTCTGTACAGCAAGGGAAACAATCAACAAAGTAAAAAAGCAACCCACAGAGTGGGAGCAGATCTTTGCACACGATATAGGCGATAGGGGGCTAATTTCCAGGATATACAAAGAACTTCAAAACAACCAAAAAACCAAAACGAACAAGCCACTCAAGAAATGGGCACGGGAAATGGGCAAACATTTCACAAAGGAACAAGTCCAAATGGCAAACAAACATATGAAAAAATGTTCCAGCTCCCTAGCAATAAGGGAAATCCAAATTAAAACATCGATGAGGTACCACCTAACACCAGCAAGATTGGCCCACATAAACAAGAACACCAACGACGCTTGCTGGCGAGGATGCGGGGAAAAGGGAACCCTACTCCACTGCTGGTGGAGCTGCAAATTGGTACAGCCTCTATGGAAATCAGTCTGGAGAACACTCAAACAACTCAAAATCTGCATACCATATGACCCAGCAATAGCACTCCTAGGAATATATCCAAAACACCTGTTTTACGACAAACCAACATGCATCCCTATGTTCATTGCAGCACAATCAGTAATTGCAAAAACATGGAAGCAACCGAAATGCCCATCAGCAGAAGATTGGATAAGAAAGCTTTGGTTCATCTACTCCATGGAATACTACTCAGCTATTAAAAAAAACAAAATGCAGTTCTTTGTGGCTAAATGGGCACAACTGGAAACTATAATGCTAAGGGAAATGAGTGAATCCCAAAAGATTAGATACCACATGTTTGCCTTGATTTAACCTGTAATTTTTGTATGGTTGTTTGTTATTTTTTGAACGTGTCATTGATACTGTCTCAACCCAGATGTTTCGAAGAATGGAACTTGCATTATTTTTAACATATTGTTTACCCAATACTATGTCAATTAATTCCATAATGTTGTATATTGATACTGAGGCCTTGTTGGGGCTTTTAACTGACCGGATCTTTACTCTGTTAGACCTATCTTCAGACCATAGAAGGTCTCCCCAAGAGGCCACTGAACTTATCTGAACAATAAGACGCTGAACTTTATGCTAGGCATGTGTTTGCAAGCAATGAATCTCAACTGAACTTGAACTATGGTTATGCAACAAGGTGGAGGAATCCACCATGGGGGGAAGGGTATGGGAGGGGTGGGGGGAATCCCCAGCGCCTATAAAACTGTACTACATAATACAATGTAAGCAACAATAAAAAAAAAATCTCATGGAAATTTCCCAGTTAAAATTTGTTGGATATATGGGCCTGGCGCAGTAGCCTAGAGCTAAAGTCCTCGCTTTGCAAGCACGAGGATCCCATACGGGAGCCAGTTCATGTCCTGGTGGCCCTGCTTCCCACCCAGCTCCCTGCTTCTGGCCTGGGAAAGCAATTGAGGATGGCCCAAAGCCTTGGGACCCTGCACCCACATGGGAGACCCAGAAGAAGCACCTGGCTTCAGATCAGCACAGCTCCAGCTTTTGCAGCCACCTGGGGAGTAAATAATCAGATGGAAGATCTTTCTCCCTATCTCTCCTCCTCTCTGTATATCTGACTTTCCAATTAAAAAAAATAAATCTTAAAAATAATTTGTCAGATATGGTGTTTGGAAAGGAATATTTTATGACAACTTCTTTTTATCTTATATCTCTCAGATTTATGAAAATTTTGTTTTTCTTTATTCAAATTTATAAATTGAAAATTTATAATTTCTAGAGAATAAAAATGGCACAATAGGATAAGGACACGTTTAAATGGATGTAGAAATATCAGCCAGTGTGAAGCAGAGAGGAAACATTCCAGGAAATAAGAGAGAACAGAACAACACAGAGGGGTACCTGGAGGCTGACAGACATGGGAAAGCAGCGAAAACAATGGTGTGGTGTTGCAGTGAATGATACTCCAGCGGCATTCAGCAAATGTGATCTGAGCTCCACTGGCAGCCAAAGCTCCACCAGCAACAAGGTGGGAAGGGACATTTAGCGGGAGCTCAGGAGGTGAACTGCTCATCCTGCTGGTCTGTTTGATTGGACCAGGAGCAGAGACAGAGCAGCAAGTCCCAGAAGGGCAGTGTGGGAGAGGGTGGCTTTCATTGCCCAGTCTGCCTCCTAGAGCCAAATTAGGTATCAGATGAATCTGATAACCAGAAGTACAGTGACCAAGATCAAAAGAGACAAAGGCATAATAGATATTACTAAATACTCCCCTGCAAAGGAGCAAAACCCTTTGCCCACCTCAGAGATAACTGAGGAAGACATTGAGAAAATGGGTATACAGAATTCAAAACACTTGTGAAAAAACTTCTTATCCACAATGAGAAGCACGTAATACAGGCATTCAAGGAATTCAAGGAATATGTCAAATTGGAAATGAATCAAATGAAAGCTGATATATCAGAAATGAAGAATACAGTGGAGCAAATTAAAAGTACAATGGAGAGTCTCCATAACAGAATGAAAGAGGCAGAAGAAAGAATCTCAGAATTGGAAGATATTTCCTGTCACCAGAGGGAAACAAACAAACAGCTGGAAGCAGAGCTGGATCAGGCCAAAAAAAAGTATTCAAGAATTGAAAGACATTATTAAAAGGCCAAATACAAGAGTTATGGGGCCCTAGAAGGTACAGAAAGAGAATCTGGGTTTACAAATGTATTTAATGAAATAATGAGGGAAAAATTCCCTGATCTGGAGAAGGAATTGGGAAACAACTTCCAGGAGGG